CCGCTTCATCCCCCCCCCCCCACTCCCTCGCCTGCATCATCGGTCCCTCCCCGCCCGCCTCCTTTTTTGTCTTTGTCAACCAGGTGGCTCTGCCCGGGTGAGACAGGTGCGGGCTGGGGGCGCTAGGCGGGGACCTCTCCCGGCCCCTCGGGGAGCGGATTGAGGGTGGGGAGGGGATGGATTGGGCTCCCGCTTCGTTTTTCCCTGTGTAATATATTACATTTCCTCCCTCCCTCCCTCCCTCCACATGGGCTTGTTTCTTTCTTGCCTCCGGGCCAAGGCCTGACCCGGGCCATGCTGGGTGGGGAGTAGGGCGAACGACCACTCGTTTTTCCTTCTTCCATAGCAGTTTCTGTGTCTGTCTGTTGTCTCGGTGCCTTTTGGTTTTGAGTAAGCCATGGGTGATTATCTTCCCTCCTTTCTCCCACAGAGACTGTAGAATCAATCCTGTTTCCTTTCTTGCAGACAGCGGCAGGAGCTATAGGCTGAGATTATGAGTTTGTTTAATCTGGACCGCTTTCGCTTTGAGAAGAAGGCTAAAAAAGTGGAACAGGAAAATCCACCTCCTTCTCTTCCCATAGCTGAGATACCAGCTGCTCCTTCTCCTGCTGCAGCAGACAATGCTGCTGGTGGTGGTGGTGGTGATGATGAGGTTACAGATGACAGCAGCAGGCCAGATACTCCAAGATCAGATGTGACTGAGAAAACGGGTGAGTCACGTGTTTGATTTGTGTCTAGCACAAACACATTGATAATGTATGTATAAGAGTAAAACATCTTCCCCACTTACAGCTTTTATTTTCCAGTACTTCCCCCTTTCCAAATACCACTATTCCATGATAACTGCCTTAAAAGCATCAAACTCTGCCATAACATTTTCTTCTATAAAAGTGAATAGAGGGCTGAATCAGGATTTAAAAGGTCAGGCTTGGAGCCTGCTGAGAACCAGTAATAAAGTGTTTCATTGACTAAGACTAACCCAAAGCCTGACAATTTTTAAAACATGTTGCCCTTCCTTTTGTATAAACATTTCCATTGTAATTGAAAGCATTTTTATATTTAACATCCCCTCGCCCCCGATCTACCTCTCAAGGAAAGCATCCTAGAACCTCCAAAAAACAGATGTGATATCCCCTATATACATCAGTAGGCAGATCTAACTTATCTATGGAGTACTTTTAATACTACAGTGATGTGTGCTGTACAAAACCTTAATCTCTCTGCTGTTCAGTTACCACCCTCTGATCATAACGTAGTCTTTTTCAACATCCTCCATCAGCACCTCTACGCAACTTGGCATGCAACCTTTCCATGACGTCAGTGCATCAACGTTGATGACTTTTCATTTGCTCTTAGTCCTCTCTTCTCTTTCTTCCATTGGTATTGTTGATTCTCTCTCCATGTTTGACTCTCATCTACCCTTGACTCTTTTGCTTCTCTCTTCCATCACATGGTCTGCCTTGCCTACTTCCAGCTCTGGCTCCCGCCAGTACCAGCTTCCTGCTCTTCTGTTGTGGAACTCCCCCATGCAGAAATCCTATGATAAAGGGTAATTTCCTCCAGTACTTATTTGTTCTCTCTTCCTTCAGTTCTGTCAGCTTCCTAGCTAAACAGCTGTAGTTTTCCAGTGTAACTGAATCCCAGCTGCTTTTTTGTCACCTTTGATTCACTCGTCAAGCAATTCTGTCCTCCTGCTTCCACTTTTCCACACAGGATCTCACTGATTTCTTGTAAGAGAAAATAGACATAATATGGTGTGAGTTCCCCTTTTTCTCACAACTCTTTCCTCCATCTCTGCTATTACTAATACAGAAGTTTCTCATCTGCTCACCTCCTCTAACCCCTCCACTTGCGACAGTGATCCCCCTTCCCTTGTGCCAACTCTCATTCT